GTCGTCCAGGCCGTAGCAGGCGTGGCACTTTCTCGATACCATAGGGGGTGCGCACGGGGTGGTCCCCCTATCCGCGCCGGTCGTCCAGGCCGTAGCAGGCGTGGCAGCTTCTCGACGCCATAGTGGGTGCGCACGGGGTGGTCCCCCTATCCGCGCCACTCGTCCAGGCCGCAGCAGGCGTGGCAGTTTCTCGACACCATAGGGGGTGCGCAGGGGGTGGTTCCCCTATCCGCGCCGGTCGTCCAGGCCGTAGCAGGCGTGGCAGTTCCTCGACACCATAGGGGTTGTGCGCAGTGGGTGGTCTCCCTATCCGCGCCGCGGTTCTCTCCAGGCCGTAGCAGGGAGGTACGTGGCAGTTTCTCGTAACCTTAGGGGCGTGGTTGCGTCAGGGGTGGTCCCCCTATCCGCAGCCGGACTCGTCCAGGCCGTAGCAGGGTGGCATGTTTCTCGTTACGGGGGGGGTGCGCAATCGGGGGTGGTTCCCCCTATCCGCGCGGTTCGTCCAGCCCCCCCCCCCCCCCAGGCCGTAGCAGGCGTTGGCAGTTCTCGACACCAATGGGGTGCGCAGGGGGTGGTCCCCTATCCGCGCCGGTCGTCCAGGGCATAGCAGGCGTGGCACTTTCTCGACACCATAGCGGGTGCGCACGGGGTGGTCCCCTTATCCGCGCCGGTCGTCCAGGCCGTAGCAGGCGTGGCAGTTTCTCGACACCATAGGGGGTGCGCAGGGGTGGTCCTAGGGGGTGCGCAGGGGGTGGTCCCCCTATCCGCGCCGGTCGTCCAGGCCGTAGCAGGCGTGGCAGCTTCTCGATACCATAGGGGGTGCGCACGGGGTGGTCCCCCTATCCGCGCCGGTCGTCCAGGGCAGAGCAGGCGTGGCACTTTCTCGACACTTAGGGGGTGCGCAGGGGGTGGTCCCTGAGCGCGGCCGCTATCCTAGACGGTCGTCCAGGGCATAGCAGGCGTGGCACTTTCTCGACACCATAGGGGGTGCGCAGGGGGTGGTCCCTGAGCGCGGCCGCTATCCGAGACGGTCGTCCAGGGCATAGTAGGCGTGGCACTTTCTCGATTCCAAAGGGGGTGCGCACGGGGTGGTCCCTGAGCGCGGCCGCTATCCGAGACGGTCGTCCAAGGCATAGTAGGCGTGGCACTTTCTCGATTCCATCGGGGGTGCGCAGGGGGTGGTCCCCGAGCGCGGCCGCTATTCGAGACGGTCGTCCAGGGCATAGCAGGTGTGGCACATTCTCGACGCCATAGGGGGTGCGCAGGGTTTGGTCCCTCACCGCGGCCGCTATGCACGACGGTCGTCCAGGGCATAGCAGGTGTGGCACTTTCTCGACACCATAGGGGGTGCGCAGGGGGTGGTCCCTCACCGCGGCCGCTATGCACGACGGTCGTCCAGGGCATAGCAGGCGTGGCACTTTCTGGACAAAATAGGGGGTGCGCAGGGGGTGGCAACGGCCACCAACATCATTCTTACATGCTTCACTTCAGCTATCATCACTCCAGCCATAATATAAGTATGTGGGGTTCCTCGGCAGCGTAATTGTTCGAAGCCCCTTCGGACCCGAAGCAAAGCCAAAAGTGCGCTGACGTATGTGGGCCTTGCACGCTTTGGTCGGACCCACTGCGGCGCACTTCCTGGCCGCGTCGCGCACGCGCGTAGCGCGCGCGCCGCTGCGAATGAAGATCAGCACTCCAAGGTTCCAACCTGTGCTCTGTCAACGTGCGCCCAAGTGTGCCGTGGTCTCTGGGTTCGTCATCTGGCGACTATCAAGTCCTGCTGATGGGGAATTCCGCGGTGTCTGCGATGCTATTGGGGACTGCAGCTGGCGCAAACTTGGAATGTGATCATCATCTTTTTGCCCGAGGTCCAGGGCGCAGTTCGCTTTGTAGTCCCTCACCTGCCCATCGAGATCCTCACGTAGAAAAATCTAGTCTCTGTGATGCTGCCCTACTCGAATGCTGTGCCATGTGCGCATGCTAGCTTTTCGCATGGATGAGCGCTGGATGCAATATGATGCTGGTCTGTCAGTGTGCGAAGCAACTGCTTCCCATTGTCATCCTCCTCTGCTGTGCTAGGCTTCCTACCCACGGTGACTACATGGACCCTGGGCGCGCGTTGCCGTCTACGAAGGTGAGCGGGATAAGCAATTTGTCAATGGTTCCCTGTCGTGCCTGCCAGAACGCATTTTTCCTGCAGCAGGTCGACGGCTGCGCTGTGCATGTGGCCCAGTGTACTCCTGGCGCCTGTCTGCGAATAAATAACAAGCGCGGGAAGCCTGGTGAAAGGCGATCTGCTTGTCAGTGAACATGAGGGGGGGCTTTTCCGATGTACCATGAGGAAGCCGGGTATCGAACCAAATCTCTCAACCATATTTTTTCTTGTCGGCTGGTGACGACGCGACACGATATTCACGAACCTACCTTGCTCGGATTTTATGCCGTGCTTCCTGGGCCCCAACGATGTGAAACTGAAGCTGCTGCAAGCAGGCCAAAAGAA